GACTAAACTTGCCATTCTGTTTCCGGTTGTTCCGCTCGCGATTGCTGCCCACTACTTCCGATTCGGAAGAGTGAGTTTTTTCACTTCTAGATTTTTAGGGTTTCAATAAAACAGTGTTGGCTTGCAGAAATTAATAATGACAGGGTTTTGTAATTGGGTTTTTTAACAAATGCACTAAAGATAAAGGTTAAGGAGTTTAACAAATTTTAAAGTAATATTTAATTTATTAATTTATGTCAATATTAATTTTAAAATTAATATTTATTTTTATATTTTTTTATACAAATTTATTATAAAAAAATATGTGTGCCTTTATAAGATAAATTAGAAAAATCTTCAGTAATTTAATGTTGATTTCAAAAGAAAATTTTAGTATATGTTCCGTATTACAAGTTGAGAAAAAGGACAGAAAAGGGGAGGAAAAAGAGAAAAGGGTTGGAAAAGAGAAAAGGGTTACAGAATGTGAATTAAACTTTAAATGGTATTAATTTCATTTTTTTTTTAATTTGATAACTAATTAATTAAGAAATAATTTGGGGATTTATGCTGGTATTAATTTTTTATGAATTCCCAACACAGGCATGGGTTTTTGCATTGAGCTTGATTGCACTAACTCCATTGGCAGAACGTCTCAGCTTTCTCACAGAGTACGACAGTCTTTCTCTGCAACTCCATTTCGTTTGTTTGGTTTTTTGCAAGGTTTTGGATCAGTTCTGATAACTTCCTTTTTTCATTTTTTGTTTGTTCTTTTATGCTTATGTGCAGGCAAATTGCCTTTTACACTGGTCCAACTGGTAATTCTTTCGGTATCTCATTATGGTGATGTTGATATGAACTGACCTATTGCTTTCCGTGAAATAAAATCTCTTTGGTTATTTAATTCTTGAAGTGGGAGGGCTGTTGAATGCAACATGTGGCAATGCTACAGAGCTGATCATAGCAATTTTTGCCCTGGCTCAGCGCAAAATAGCTGTGGTGAAGTATTCCCTATTGGGTTCCATACTATCAAACATGCTTCTGGTTCTTGGGACCTCTTTCTTTTGTGGTGGAATTGCCAACCTTAGACAGGAACAAAAATACGATAGGGTAATTAAGCATTTAAATTAACAAATTGGAGATGTGAATTTTATGTACTTCTATAGTTTATGTGGATTGTAACTAGATATGGGGTAGACGTGCACTGATATATTCCCATGAGTGATGGAATTACAGAGACAAGCTGATGTGAACTCACTTATGCTGCTTCTGGCGCTGTTGTGCCATTCTCTGCCACTGTTGTTCGGGTATGCTGTGGGATCAGGTGCTCTTGCAGCCAATCCAATATTGCAGTTATCTAGAACAAGTAGCATTGTAATGCTCATTGCATACGTTGCCTACCTTGTCTTTCAACTGTTCACCCATCGGCAGTTGTTTGAAGATCAAGAGGTAGTCATGTTATGATGTTTATGGGTTTGGGTACCTTTTGTACTCCGTTTATTTGTTAATAAATATTATTTTTGGTGTTTTAAAAAAAAAATTATCTTTAATTTCGAATGGATATACACAACACCCCATAATGATTTTGTATTTGGCATTTCTTTTGATAAGATTGTGACAAATTAGCTGAGTTTGTTGCATGTGTAATTGATTAGGAAGCCGATGATGATGCATCAGAAGAATCACCAGTGATTGGATTTTGGAGTGGATTTGTATGGCTAGTTGTTATGACTCTTGTTATAGCCTTGCTGTCTGAGTATATTGTTGACACAATTGAGGTAAATTGTTAGACCATTCCCATCTTAATTTGAAGGATTGCTAAAAGCATAGTCATTTTTATTTACATATTTTTTAGAACAATTTTTTTTTTACATTAGATTTGACTAATATTTATATGATTACACTAGGCTGCTTCAGATTCTTGGGGTATTTCTATGAGCTTCATCAGCATTATCGTGCTACCTATTGTTGGAAATGCAGCAGAACATGCAGGAGCCGTCATATTTGCATATAAGAACAAGCTGGTGAGTATTACAATAATCTTGACTTCTCCTCTATCTGTTCAATGCATTTGAGTTGTATCTATTTGTGAGTGGATTTGTTTGGCTTGTTGATCTGAACCTTATTACCTCAATTTCACAGGATATTTCTTTAGGTGTTGCCTTGGGGTCTGCAACTCAAATTTCAATGCTTGTGGTAAGAATTTATTCTCAAAGCTTCAAATGGCTATCCTCAGAAAAAGCAGCGCTCGTCAATTTTGGACTTTGATCTTTACCATCATTTTAATGTAACTCAGGTGCCATTAACCGTGGTTGTTGCTTGGATAATGGATATTGAGATGAGTCTTAACTTCAATATCCTTGAGACTGGCTCTCTTGCTGTCTCAATCATTGCTACAGCCTTCACTTTGCAGGTAACATAATGAATTTGGTAATCACCAGTACCTTTGTTGATAATTTTACAAGTGCAAATGAGTTGAAGCTTTTATTGTTAGGATGGTACTTCCCATTATATGAAAGGACTGATTCTTCTGCTATGTTACATTGTCATCGGAGCTTGCTTTTTTGTTTTAAGATCCCCCCTAGGTAATTTTAACACAATTCTGTCACTCATTTATCCTAACCGCTGTAACTGGGATTCATCCATCAAACTCAAGTCTTTGTCTTTTTTGCTGTATTTTTCTCTACAGAGCCACCAAATGTCATACCCTTGGGACATAAATCAGCTTAGGCACTCTTCAGAACCTAAAAAGGAGGTAAGTTCATTCAAATTAACTTCTGCTCATCTAGACATCCTCTCAAACATCACACAACTCAAAATTAACGAATGTCGTTCTTGCAAATTCAGGCATTGTCCTTTCTGGTGTTGTCCGCTGGGTTAAAAATGTTGCGGAAACTCAGGTAAAGTTTAAATCCATGCTTCATTCTTTAATATTTCATTTAAGCCAGGCTGCCTGCTGGAAAACTGACAATCTGCATTTTAACGTCATGGTGACTACAAAGTTTAGCAGGATGTTAAAATTGGGAGCTTGATGAAAGCAGGCTACATACTTCATATCATGATATATATATTTCCTTTTCAGATTATTGATGAAAGCTCCTCTTGCAATGCCATAATCGTCAATAAAATAATGAAAATGCTATTGTTTTTGGGTTTTCGTTTTCCAGATTATATATTTCCTTCTCAATTTCATTCCCAACAAAATTTCTATTTTTCCGAAGAAAACACTACATTTTCCATCCATAATCATTTTCTATCAATTACTTGTTAATCTGAATGGAAAGAGATCAATTTCTCTCGAGTGAGATATCGATTTTGAATCTTGTGAATAAAAAAATAAACGTTGGGAGAACTTTTCATTATAAGGTTAACTGTTGTTCAATTTTGAATGAGTAATGATAGAGGAGATGAAAACGGAAACATGCAAGGGGGTCAAATTAGTAATTGCACCACATGTATGAATCTTGCATAACCTGTCATCTCCCATTTCGTCCCCTCCATCATTACTCATTTTGAATTAGTTAAGATACAATGTAATTTTTAGATACGAAAAAAATTAGTATCAAAAAAATGAAAATTAATTTATCCAACAAAAACACGCACACATTGTAAAATCAGAACGCTGTCTGCCCAGATTGCAAATCAATTAACCATTGATAGCATTGTAGGTTTCCGTTTTTCAGATTATATATCAAGAGACATGTTTCGTTTATCAATGGTTAACTAAAAGTGCATTCTCTCCTTTTCTGTTCGTAAAATTTTTGCATGGCTGAGAAGACGGTAGTGATTGGTGGACCCGGCCCACCTACTAAGCATTTTGGGTCCATCAGCATAAAATATCTGCACCAACCAATAATGTCAGAATTCATACTTCAGTAATCGATCCCCATAAATTCGTCCGCAGAAAATCAGAAACAGATTTAGGTCATGTTGGGTGAAATTTTTAAGAATTTTTATTTTTTTATACTGTTATAAATAATAAATTTAAATTTTTATTAGAAAAAAAATTTAAAAATTATTTTTAAAAATAAATAAATAATATAAATTTAAAATTTTTTAAAATTTATTATTTAAAATGATTTAAAAAAATTAAAAAATATAAATTTTTTTTTAAAAAAATTTAATTTATAAAATATGAACTCCGTAAAAAAACCGAACCTCTTACGGGGCTTCACCAAACATACTCTTAAAGGGGAAATCTAAAAGGTTGCAAATCCATCGTCTTCCTCCCTCACTCCCTGGCTCCTGCCTTATCTCCTCCTCCCCTCCACAAATTTCGAAATTCCGGCCTAATCCCGGCGCCATGGGAGAAGAGCGAGCTATTCTGCATGTTAAAGCCATCCCGGGCATCAAACTCTTCGAAACCGCGCGCAATGCGCCTCTCTGGGAAAACGGGCGGCTCAGCGGTCGTTTCAGTGGCGGTGGCTGCCGGAGTGGTGACGCCGCTCATTTCGCGTGCGTTTCGTTGGTGGAGAAGAGTGAGCAGAAGGATTTCGGCCTCACGCAGGCTCAGCTCTTGAAGCACCCCTTGGCTGCTCTTCATTATGTGCCCAGAGATGCTGCCATTTTTGTAGCCGGCGCCGTGGCCGGAGCAGCTGCGAAGACCGTCACAGCTCCGCTTGACCGCATCAAGCTTCTGATGCAGGTGCTCTTTTGACTGTTTGGTTACTTTACAAAAATTGCAGCTACGACTACTGTAGACTGTTGGCCTGATGTTTAGATGCGGCATCGTTTGCAATTGCATTACTATTCTATTTGATTTCCGAGAAAATGTTGGGAATTGAGACGGTTTCCTTATGCTCAGAATTTTTCTTGCCGCAATTTGGTCCTTTTCTATTTATCTTTTAAGTTAGATCATTGCGATAATCTGTAGTCTAAGAGGATTCTGCGTCATTTTTATTATTGTTACATAGCTGCTTTCCTGAGTTTTGCTGGAATTCACCTGTAATGTGCTGCAAGGTCGATTGGAACTCTTATTCATGAATTTTCAGACTCATGGAGTGCGAGCTGGGCAAGAAAGCGTTAAAAAGGCTATTGGTTTCATTGAGGTGTGTTGTGTTTTGCGTTGCCTGGTTTCCACTATCCTTAGCTTAAGTTTTGTCCCTCCAATTTCTGCCAGCTACAATTTTGATGTTGTTGTTGTGTATTTGGAAATAAACTTCAGGCCATGGTATTAATTGGGAAGGAAGAAGGAATAAAGGGGTATTGGAAAGGCAACCTCCCTCAGGTTCATTGCAGTTTTCATCTATTGCAGTAATTTAGGTTATAATTCTCCTACATGATAGACTGATAGTGGTGATCCATTGAGTTTGCTCTTAATATAAATGTTTCAGGTGATAAGAATCATACCTTACAGTGCTGTCCAGCTCTTTGCTTATGAAACTCTCAAGGTAACAGTAGAATATCAGTGAGCAAATCTTAGCATAATACTATGTTTTCTTGGAGACAGCATTGTTCCAAGGAATTTAATTTGCTTTTGGAATTGGAATATCTAGAAACTCTTTAAAGGAAAGGATGGTCAGCTATCTATCATTGGAAGGCTTGCGGCAGGTGCTTGTGCTGGCATGGCATCTACTTTTGTAAGTGATTTAGTGAATGAGATTCATATCTTTTTAGTTTGTCAGGGTGCCACCTGTTTGGCTTCCTTTGTTCTCTCAGCTATATTATCATGCATTACTGAGGAAGAAAAAGAAAAATGCTTATGAATTATGGGGAGACAAATATTCTCTTTGGTTTCTCCACCCCTTTCTTTCTTTCAGTTATCCATTGCTAGTGGGCCTCTATATGGATGTGGGTGTTCAAATTTGGCTGTTCGTTTCTGTGTAGGTAACATATCCTTTAGATGTCCTTAGATTGCGCCTAGCTGTTGAACCTGGGTACCGAACAATGTCAGAGGTATGTTTAACTCAGTTGATCACTACCAATATAAATATGGCTAATTATAGCCTTATAGGTGGATGAACCTTAATGTATCTCTTCCAGGTTGCCTTAAACATGTTACGAGAGGAAGGAGTTGGATCCTTTTATTACGGTCTTGGGCCATCTCTTCTTGGAATAGCTCCATATATTGCAGTGAACTTTTGTATATTTGATTTGTGAGTCCACTGATATTGCTCTCAGCAATGTAAATGTCAAAGAACACAAAGTGAATCCTCAATATTTTAAGTACTTCATTTTTAACAGGGTGAAGAAGGCTTTGCCAGAGAAATATAGAGAGAAGACCCAAGTATCTTTATTAACAGCTGTGGCATCAGCTGCTATTGCCACTCTAACATGTTATCCTTTAGACACCGTGAGAAGACAAATGCAGCTGAAGGGTACACCTTACAAGTCAGTTTTGGATGCCATTCCAGGTATCTTGTTTGCACTGGCTATATTTTAAGTGTATATTGTGGGGACTGTTTGTGACATGTAGATTGGCTGCATTAACTAAATTTCAAGGGAATAATGTTTTAAAATCTAACCTTTAGAACTCCTTTAGAACAAAGTGATTACTTTGTTGGGAAAGACATTGATTGACATTGTGGTTCAGTTGCTAGCAGTTAACACAATAATAATCCAAATCTTTAATATTTTAAATAGAAATATCCTGTTGGCTATGAGAGCCATCAATTAATTAAATTGTGGAAAAAATTCTGGTTTGAGATCTAAATATTAGTTTGCTAACCATGATTTGTTATTTATGCAGGTATTATTAAACGGGATGGGGTTATTGGCTTGTATAGAGGTTTTGTTCCCAATGCGTTGAAAAACCTACCAAATAGCAGGTTCACATGCATTGCCATCTATCATTTTCCAAGTTTTTGATTTACATTTATTTACATTGGAGATTGCATGCCTTGCTGCGTTATTGCTAGACTATTATTTCAAACTTAGCCATGCCATACAAAATTTTCTAATTTCAAAGGTAATAGAGACATCTAGGATTATATATTGCAAATTTGGATATGCCACAAACTGGATTTATCCAACTGTGTCAGTGTTTGATTCTGGAGTTTTGTCTTCCTGTCATTACTAAGAGGTTTTCTATGTTTCTTGCATAAGCATAACTATGGTTTAGGTAGTTTCAATGATTTTTTCATACTCATGGGACCATCACATTACGGAAAGATCTCTACTTTGTATAACATGCAAATCACATGAATGTGATGGCCAAAAGGAACCTATATAGTGAGTGCTGATCAAGTATGAATGCATAGTTTTTTTTCTTTTATTGGAGCATGAATACATATAATCAAATCCACATCATCATGCTTATCTAGTTTACTGGACCCGAGTCCTGAGACATCACTCTTTCTAACTGCAGCATTAGGCTTACTACCTTCGACACAGTCAAGCGTGTAATTGCAGCAAGTGAGAAAGAGTTTCAGCAAATTGTGGAGGAAAATCACAAAGAAGAAACAGGACACCGGCATTAAACAATTATGATCCTGAAGTCATTATATTTAAACTATTCATCTCTGCCTATTTTTTCTCATTCTGGTTATTTTCCATCACAGCACCATGTGATTTGCAGGATTCACATTTTACCAAAATTATCCGTACAATATGTGAGAATCGTCAAGCTACCACAGGACACTTATTCTAGCATCCCCTTTGGTAGAGAAATGGCGCTATGGTTGCAGGTGCCGTTTCCATGTAGCATTCCAGTTCCGCCCATTTGTAGGTGGGGAATTCATAGTGCTTACTGCTTAGGAAACATTTTATATACGTAGACTCTCAAGCTTCCAATTGTTTGTTGTACGAGGGATGTACCATTGTTATTAAGTCTAAAATTTTTCCCAGTTAACTGGAATTCTTAAAGTTTTCTAAGTTCTAATGCACTTTTTATTGGTCTAAAGATTTTGCCCACTCATTCTCTTTACTCTTGACTCTTGAGACTAAAGATTTTTATTGGTCTGACGGTAAAATTGAGCATTTTTCGGTATGCTAGAAAACCTCCCAAGAACCCTAACAATGCTTCTCTCTGAAATGCTCTTTTCCTTCGATTGCCATGCTGGCAATACTACGCTCTGTATACTCGATCCAAATCCATCCGGTACACGCGATTTGCTATTTTAATTTAAAAAAATTATTATATAATTTAAATTAGGTTAAATTATACAACATTAATTATTAAATCAAATAAATTTAGTAGGATTTACTACTTATTTTTATTAAATAATAGATATTTTATTATTTAAATTATAAAATATAAGAGTCTTTAATTTCGGCCATAGAAACATCAATCATCTCTAATCAACAAAATAATTTTAGTCGTGAAGAACTCTATTATGTTAAATTGTTAATTGAAAAAGTTGATACTTGTTAATTATTTTCCCTCGGTGTAACGGCCTGCAACTTGCAAGCAAATGATAGCTTGTTACTTTGCAAAATGCAAATTTTTTCCGTAGTCAGCATATTTTATTAGTGGATGGCACATCGCTATCTTTAACTTTAATTTTCCTATTTTGCCAATTCCGTCACGCAGTTGGTGTTCTAAAACCCCTTGGAATATAATACTTTAATGGTAAATCCGCTCCTCCCCCTGGAACTATTGAATTGTGTCTTAGGGGAAAAAAAAAAAGAAACTTTTTTCCATTTTATTCAGATAAGTTTAAATTTAACATTTTACTATGTTAAAGTATCATTTCTTTTCATTTTCCATACCTCGGCCCAGGCTGAGGACTTTTTCTGAATAAGCACCGAGTAATGGTTAGATGAAATCATGCTTTCTTGTTACGTATCCTAAAATTCTTCGTCACATAAATATCATGTCAATAATATTCTAGTCAGCAATACCTAAGTATGCACGAACCTTACGTGTAATTAAGAAATTAAAATGTAATAAATTATTTTTTAATTATAAATAAGGGGACTATATCTACAAGTCTTAGAGTTAGAATATATATATTTTTTTATTTTAGTTGCACAATAAAAAAAATCATCTTTTATTATTTATCTTATTACATTTTTATATCATTTAATTTAAATTTAAAATTTTTTATTTTTAATAAAAAAAATCATTAATTTATTTAAATAATTGACTTAAAACTAAAGTATGGATGGCGTAGCATCCCTATGCCACACATAGAGGCACCAACTGCCGCTGCATCTGCCTCCTTTGGCAAACGTCGTTTGGCCGTGACGGTAGGTTTACCGTCATTGGACATTGAACGGTTGTATTTGGTTAAAAATTATTTTTTTAAAAAAATAATTAATTAAAATTTTATTACAAATAAAAAATATTATATAAAAAATTAAACCCCATATAAAATTTTTTTTGAGAATTTTCTTTTATAAAAGAAATATTTTAAAAAAATTTATAAATTATAAATTGTGTCAGTCACTTTTACCTTCTATTCACGAGGGTGGACGAGTGATACTCCTATTGGAGGTTGAATTTCAAGTCAAAACGGAGGATATTTTGTAATTTACCTAAAGCAGTTGATCTTCTTCAACCATCTTCTTCTGCGTTAGTCATAAAAAAACAAACTCTTCTGGCTTCACGCATTGCTTATAGTTTACGTGTGCTCCACACGAAGAGATCTCTCTCACACACACACTCTCTTTTCAATTTCCAAATTGTGGAACATTTTTTTTTATTGGAGAGAGAGGAAGAAAGGTTTTTAAGCCTCCAAGTGGAACTTGTTGTATTTTGGGTTTCTGGTTTTCCTTTAAAAAGGAAGGAAATTTCTCTTTCATTTTAACGTTTTCTGCAGTGAAGATGATTCCAAGAGGTGTCGTTTGAGGTGGGAGCAAGAGGGTGGTTAGGATTTAAGTGTTTCAGCTGTGATTGCTAGTGAATCAGTGTCTGACTTGCAAACAGAGAAGAGCGAAAATATGCGGAAATCCTTTAAGCACTCCCTTAAGGCTCTCGAAGCTGATATTCAGTTCGCCAATACCATGTAATTTCTTTCTCCCCCACTCTCTGTGTTCAATTTGTCTACAATTTTGTTCAATGATGGCTACCAATCGGAGGGCCATGGATAACTTTACATATGCTTTACACTTCCCTTTCTGTTCCTATCCCACACCCAAAATTTGTGGGTCCATTCCTGAATTTCCTGTCTTTTATGATTTTTCAACATACACATTGCTGTTTTCTGTGATGCAGGGCTACTGATTATCCTAGAGAATATGATGGTGCCTGCCTTCAGATGAGATTATCTTATGGTCCAGCTGCTCATTTTTTTCTTTACCTTGTTCGGTGGACTGGTTGCCACCTTGCTGGTGCCCTGGGATTGCTCAGAATTCTTATCTACAAGGTGCTTTGAGAATTGCTATGTGTTAATTCCTTTATCTTTATGGTCTTTAAACTTCCTTAAGGCTTCTGTTCTAACATTTAATTTAGATAATACCATGCCAATTGCATAATAACCTGTGCCTGCTTCATTCAGGTGTATGATGATGGAAAGACCACAATGTCAATCCATGAAAGAAAAGCTAGTTTGAAGCAATTCTATGGTAAGTAAAAGGGTGGATTTCCTTTTACGTTCAAGTTAAATGGAAACAACATGATTGATGTCATTTGCTTATTTTACTTCACAAAAATTTTACACCATTTAACAACCAACCTTCACCAAAAGATTTGTAACCTTTTATCCGTTTGGTCTTGATGGATAGGCGTGATATTTCCCTCATTATTGCAACTTCAAAGGGGAATCACTGATGTGGAAGAGAGGAAACAGAGAGAAGTTTGTGCTACAAAGTACAAGAAAATATATGACATGGATAGGGGAAAGCTCTCTGAAATTGATTTAGAGATGGAAGAAGAATGTGGTATTTGCATGGAGAACAACAGCAAGATCGTGTTGCCTAATTGCAGCCATTCGATGTGTGCAAAATGCTACCGGATTTGGTGAGTTGTTAATTGGTTTGATGTGCTTAGTTTACAACTATATCCAAGCAATCATAAAAATATGGCATTGACTTATGTTTATATGAACGTCATAATTCTCGCTTCTCCAAAGGTTAACCCAAAACAAAATTACTTATCCAGTTCTTTTCAAGCAGTTCACCTGCAATAATCTGTTGGAGACTAATCCTGCTAGTCACCTTTATCATCGATCTTTTTTGCCTCCTGATTTATTGGAAGGGCCTTGTGTGGTAAAGAGAAGATATATCTTTCTAAACTAATGTCTTTACATCTGCAACTGGTTCAGTTTCACATCACTATGCTTTTAGATATTTCTTCTTGATCATGCCAGGTCACTATGCTTTTAGATATTTTTTTTTAGGGCTAGTTGCTTTTGTGACACACTGGGGAAATTTTGAGGTGGCTCTTCATTTATGTGTCTAGATATTTGACATTGGGGATAATGTTATGTGTGTCGTATGGTTTTTGTAGGCGTGCGCGGTCTCAGTCATGCCCCTTCTGTAGAGATAGTCTCAAGAAAATTAGTTCAAGAGACCTTTGGACATATATCAGCAACAACGATGTTGTCGATTTGTCCACAATCTCAAGCGAGAATTTGAAGAGGTTCTTCATGTACATCGACAAGTTGCCTGTCATTGTTCCTGATCCAAATATCATTTCCTATGATCCACGACGACGATGATCAAAACTTCGATTTGGCTCCTAAAATATGTAGAGTACAGAAGACAGGGTTGATTGTATATAATTCATTCATGTTTGTCTCCTTAATGGTTCCAAATTTAGAAGATGTAAATAAATCATTAGTTCTTTTACATACAGAAATGTTTTTGCTCCTCCAGCATTCCCTTAGTCAGACACCAAGGCAAAGCAAATATAGTGATATTCCGATTATTAACTTCAATTTTCAAACTCTGTTGTGCCATTCTGAACCATGCCTCTCATGTGCGAGTTGGTTAAGAAGTTAAAAAGAGGGATTCTCCATTTTGCTAGTAAGAAAAGAGATATAAGGCAACAGCATCTAATGTCATACAAAAGCACAACATGTAAACTAGGACTGGACTATAAACATACAAAATGCGGTTACGGGTTATCTATGCCCTATTCGACCTATCTTATTGCCCAGTCATTTCAGTTAATCATCATCTTCATCCTCGTCTTCTTGATCTTCCTCCCCCTCATCTTCAGGTTGCTGTTGCTCTCCCTGCAAAGAATTAATCCCAGGTTAGAATTAAAAAGCCCAGGAAGTTTATGGCCAGACACTGTGACGTTGAGGACACAATGTGTCTCATGCCAGTGTTGCTGTTCAATGAAAGAAATCATGCTTAATGTCTAGAACTCTCCCAATGATGTCTCTTAATAAAACCCAACACATTTGACATTCAGTACTAAACGACACAAAAATGGAAACTACCTCTTCATTAGCCTCCTCTTCGTCATTCACTTCAGATTTTGACCTATCTGACCCCTCATCACCATCACCAGCACTCTCCTGCCAATTGCAACAGAGGAAAGTCAAGCGAGGAACAAATCAAATGGAAACACTTGTCAAACAAAGAATGGCTGATCCAGCAATTTATTTACCTGCCTCTTGTTATAAGCATTCATTTGCTTCTCATATTCAACCTTTCGTTTAGCAGCTTTGGCTTCATATGCAGCTTTTTCCTTCAAAACATTGTTGTGAGGGTAAAATGAGGTAATGACTTTCTTAAGGACAATCAACTCAAAATTAAATAAAGTCCTCTTTATCATAAGCAATCAATGTTTTTTGTGCAAGAACAAAATAAGTAGGAGAATCTGGTCTAATTCTTTAAGAGAAAACACACACGCACACACACAAAACCCAAAAGTTTTAAGAGTCATGGAACAAAGCCCCAAGAGGCTTGCATTCATAATTCATGAATATTTACACACACACACACACACACAACCCAAAAGTTTTAAGTGTCATGGAACCAAGCCCCAGGAGGCTTGCATTCATAATTCATGAATATTTAGGAAAAGGAGATGGGCAGAGAGTTTATAAGCTTCCCTTTCCTCTGGAAAAACTGGAAAGTTTAGATGGACATCATCCATTCACAAAGCATCTTAGGATTTATAGAATAAATATATATGTTCAAGTGCTTACATCTTCAGACATAGATTTCCACTTCTCCCCTGCAGCTTTGCCAACCTTCAAACACAGCATTCAAACAAACATAAGCAGTGCTGACTGTCTAAAAACATAGTTAAGTTCAATCATATAAAATATTGTTGAGCTTACAGCAGACACAGCCTTCACATTGGGGTGTTCTTTCTTGAAAGTGCTTCTAAATTCCTCACTGTAAGACAAACATAATATTTTTAATCAATTGAAATACTTGAATTAAACCACAAGAACCAAGTTATCTCTACTTGCCAAAATGACAGTGAAAGATACATACAGAAACACAAAGAAAGCACTGGGAGGCCTCTTTGGTTTGTTTGGGTCTTTTTGGGCCTTCTTCTCCTTCTTTGCTTTTGGCTGGCTGCTTTTATCAACAGCTGCCTTCCTCTTTCCAACCTTTCTGAAAAGAATAGAGATAGACGTGATCCATCACTATACTATTCCTGTAATATATTCGCTGTATCGAACTAACATGGGTTATAAACATCAGAAACCAATAGAATTTCATTGATGCAGCAATCGCCAGGAAACTAACACGCAGGAGACAAAATATCATATCAAGGAACAAAGCCTTACAATCTATCAACAATATAAGAACTTATAACAAAAAACAGCAACAACTGACCGATCATCAGCAGGCTTCAATGCATCTTTTGTGTTCTTGGCCGCACCCTTACCCTTAGCTCTAGCTCCTGTCATGGTCGCTGTACAAACAAGGGTTTACCATGTTAAATACAAGACTTCTTCCTAAATAACCATCCACACCCCAACTTTTGCAGCCAAAACAGAGTTCTGAGTTAAAATCATGCTATAGGAAGCCTAAATTAACATACAATTCTGAACCACATGCTCACAGGTAAGGGATTTGTGGCCAATCTTGGCCAACTGAGCTCCAAAATTCATAGTAAATATTAATAATTAAACAAAATTCATTTTAAAAAATAATTTTCAAATATTACACCAATATCTAACCAAACAAGCTCCATAGATAACACACACTCCAAAGAAAATTCAAGTACAAAATACTATCCAAAATCAGAGTGATCTTATTCAACAAAATTCATAGTTATTTTTGTCAAAAAAAATCGTTAATAGCGTATAATACAGACAAAATATTTAATATATTCATCCACAGATGCAAATGGAACAGAGAATCGAAAACAAAGACGGAGTTGTGATTTTCTCAACCTCTTATTCACCAAAAACACAAAAACAATACTCTAATTCTTGATTCTTAGGAAGAAACTAAGCTTCAAACACCAAAATAAAAGCAAAAAGAAAAAGGAAAACCAACATAATCCTACTTCACTGTTTAAACTATAAACAGAACATAGCTAACCAAAAACAATCTCAAAAAAATCAAACAGAAACAAGAAGGAAAGGAAAACAGATCTTGAAAATGAAGTTACCTTTTCAGGAAAACAAGAGAGGCGGTGATTGGCTTGCGAGAAAATGCGCTGAGAAAATCGCTGCGGGAAACAGAGAATCGCCTTGGAGAGGGAATAAGAAAAAGGAACAAGGTGAAGCTACCAGCGAAGCGTAAGGACAGTGAAATCGGTACAAGTGACCGGACCAGCCTGTAAACGTGGGGCGCTTGAGGCCGCAGGAGAGAGGGAGATTTTTACCGGCTACAGCCGGTTTGATATATTCGAGAATGCTTTATTTGTTATTTTAATTAATTTTTTTTAGGGGGATTTGATCAGGATTCCCCCCAATCAATAGCGTTTTAGCGGTGGGGATGATTTTGCCGCCAAATTATCTCATACAGGCGGTGACAAAAAGCAGATATCTTGTGCCACATTCGATGGGTGACACGTGTTTCCTTTTTAAAAGTTGATGGAATGACCGTTGATCGTTTAAAATTTGTCTTTTAGCGAGTCTTCCAGACTTTGGGTTTTATTGGGCCTGCTAAAAGTGTCCGGATTGGGCTGATGTTAAGTTAATTATAAATATAATATGAGAATCCTGTGTTACAGTCCGGACTGTACCGGACTGTAACACACCTTTTTGATATAATATAATATATATTATGTAAAATTATAAGTTTATATTCATAAAGTTTTCTTAAACAATAGCTACATATATATTATAGATAGATATCTGAATAAAAATAGAATTTTTTTTAATTTATATTCTTAGAGTATAAATTAAAAGCGTAATAAATATATTTTTTATTATAAATTTATTTTAAAAAATAGGATTTGTTTAACATGTGTAAGACATACGTTAAAATTCATTAATTATAGTATTTTTAATTAATTTTATATAAATTTTTATATTAAAATTATTTATTTTTACACATTTTGAATATAAATATTATATTGAAATAGTGTTTATCCGTCTTACCTTTTAAAAATTAAAAGAAATATTATCTTAAAACTATATCATTTTAATAAACACTTATTGAAAAGATTAAAATATCATATTTACAAAGTATGAATTAAAGTGTTTTTTGTACTTTCCTATAATTTTTTTATTAAAATGATGTAGTTTTTCATAATTTTTTTCATAATTTTTTAGAGGTAAAATAGACATGCACTAACTACATATTATATTATATTTTGTTTTTACATTTTATATTTTGTTTTATCTAAATAGTATATGAAATCTTGTACAATATTATTTATAAATAATATAATTAATAAAATTTAATCTATAGGTATATATTAAAAATTTTTAAAGACATACAAATTAATATTTAATTTATCAATCCTTTAAGTTATATATACTTTTTTAGCATAGGGGAATTATAAGGAATGAAGAATTTTTTCAAAGCATTGATGAGGGTGAAAATTTTAATCAATTAAATTCAAACACTGAGGATTATAAATGAACCATTGGCCCAAAGGATTCATTCCCTTATTACCCAGAAGATTAATATCCCTTTTTAGATTATATATATATTTATATAGAAAAACGATATACATTATAAAAATTATATTAATTTATAAAAATAACTATTTATAAAATAATACACTTAAGTCTTCGGGTCTAGTGACGTCAGGTCGCGTATAAGTGCATTCCTCCACCCTAAGATAACGGTTCGAATTCAGTTTACTGTGAATTTGTTTGTAAAAAAAATTATTTATAAAATAATATATTATTTCATGCGTTTAAAATAACACCTCACAAACCAAGAATCTCATTTTCGGAAAATATCATTTTCGGATTTTAAGTAACAATATCAGCCACAAAAAAGAAAAAAAAAATCATACAAAAACGACATGCAGTTCCTGTTCCTAACCGACTGCCATCAAAGCAGCATAACATCAAATTTTAAGGGTCCACAATGGGATAAGGCTGGGATAAGGTGGATGCTTTCTGATTCGTCAGATAGATACGCTCCTTGATCCAACGGCTGCTGACGATTTACGTGGATAGATTACCCAAACCTTGATAAAAACACTTCCCTTACCATAACGCCACCAGAAGAAAACTTCCTTCTTCCCTCAGTCGCTCCACCTCCTCCGACGTTTTATAGCCGCCGTGACTTAGCTTTCATCCGACGATGGCCGCCGCCACTTCAGCCGCTGCATCAGCCTTCATCGGCGCACGCCTACCGAATGTCCATTCGAGCTCGGGCAGGTTCCAGGCAAGGTTTGGGCTGGGCGCAAAAAGGGCCAAGCCCAAGAAGGTGTCAAGGCCCAGCTCTGATCGTCCACTATGGTTCCCCGGAGCTGAAGCACCCTACTGGCTAGACGGGAGCTTGGTGGGTGATTACGGATTCGACCCGTTCGGGTTGGGGAAACCTGCGGAGTACTTGCAGTTTGAGCTGGATTCGTTGGATCAGAACCTGGCGAAGAATGTTGCCGGTGATATAATTGGGACCAGGACTGAGAGCTCCGATGTTAGAGCGACGCCGTTCCAGCCATACAATGAGGTGTTTGGGCTGCAGAGGTTCCGTGAGTGCGAGCTGATTCACGGGCGGTGGGCTATGTTGGCTACTCTGGGGGCCCTTGCCGTTGAGTGGCTCACCGGCGTTACCTGGCAAGATGCCGGCAAGGTATGTTGTTTTGGTTTATTTCCTTGGGAAAATCCTATTCAGGGTACTAATTAAGCCAATTGATGAATCTAAATCTAAGACTAACCATATGTCCACTGTTAACTTTTCAGGTGGAGCTCGTGGAAGGATCATCGTACCTTGGGCAACCTCTTCCATTCTCGATATCTACCTTGATCTGGATCGAGGTATTGCTGATCGGATACATTGAGTTCCAGCGAAACGCAGAGCTTGACCCTGAGAAGAGGCTGTACCCCGGAGGAAGCTACTTCGATCCGCTTGGATTGGCCTCTGACCCAGAGAAGAAAGCAAGGCTTCAATTGGCGGAGATCAAGCACGCTCGTCTCGCCATGGTTGCTTTCTTTGGCTTTGCCGTCCAGGCTGCCGCCACCGGCAAAGGCCCGCTCAACAACTGGGCTACCCACTTGAGCGACCCACTCCACACCACCATCATTGACACCTTCACTCGCTCCTCTTAGACAAATGGGGAAAAAATGGGGAAAAATTAATCCTTTTGTGCCTTTAATTGATTTTGCCTGGACTGGACTGTAGTAGTGGTATTTTTAATTTTGAGCTGTAAAATTAATGGCGTTAAGACTGTTTAACTAGAATGGTAATTATAGCCAGTTGCTTGTGCATGCTTTGCACGGGTTATTTTGCATTTTGTCTGTAAATAGAGTCAATATTTATATTGGATCAAGCATTTATGTTTCCATAGTTTATTTTTCCTACTATTTAACATATTGAATAATAACCTAATTTTTATATGATAATAAAACATTAAAAAGTCATAGTAATAATATAACAAATTCAAAAGTAGCCTGAGATTTTAAAGTTATTTAGCAAAACTTTTTTTAGAGTTACTTTTTAGTAAAAATTTCAAAATCTTTTTCTTTCGAATCAATTTGCAAGTTGCAACTGTAAACATAAGAAATAAAGATTGTGAAATTTTTGTTAAAAAAATAACTCTAGGAAAAGTTTTGTCCAATGGCCTCCAAATCTTAGGCTACTTCCAAACCAAGAATCTTTTTAATTCTTCATAAAAAGAAAATCCTTTTAATTCATTCATACTCCAATGGTAAATGAAAAAAGCTTTAGCAACTCAAAAACGGGAGGGGTCAGTCTGCGCATTCTTTTTATGTATAGGGCCGATTTGCAACCGTTCAAAAAGTTGAGGGGAACGATAAATCACTCGGGTAATGGTTGGACTGAGATCTAAATCCAAACATTACGGTGCCGACATGGACCCTAGTTCCCCTCAGCCCGGCACAGGAATGCACTGCCTGATGGGCCAGCTGACTCAATTAGTTAAGTGAGTCCCGTTTGAATTTTATTTTTAAAAAGTTTTTCATTTGTGTTTTTAGAGTATATATTGAATATATAATTATTATATTTTATGTAATTATTATTTTTTATTATTAATTTATGTAAAAAAATTAATTTAAAATTTATTAATTATCTAATTAAATTATTTTATATGATATTACTATTAAAAATAAAGTTTAATTTTGTAATTTTTTATATATATTAATGATAAAAAAATATAATAAATACATTATTAACTTGTATTATAAATTAGAAAGATCCTTTTACTTATAGCAATTTTTTGTTTTATGTGTAAAAATTTAACAACCAAAATTTGCTTTGAATATGGGAATTGAAGTTTTGAACAAGAGTTCTTGCAGTATTTCATTCCATTGTTGCAATTATGCTTCACACATGAATATTTCTTTACAGTTTAAAGTTGTTTATATTCAAATCTTGATTAAAAATCAAATTATCGTTAGATGTAAAATAGATAATTTTATCATGAATGAATAAAAAAGAAATGAAAATGATAAAGAGGCAAAATAATCGTTTTATATGACATGATTTTTAACTACTGAAAAAACAAATAAAAAAAACCAAATGTGTAACAAAAAAAAAATCGTTAGTAAAAGGGGGAATTTTTGACGGAATATTCTATATATTTCTTTTATTTTTTTAATATTGATTGCACGATAGATAATTTTTTTTTATTTTTTATCTTACTCTATTCATATATATTATGTGATTCAAGTTCAAAAATTTTTACTTTTAATAAAATAAAATTATTATTTAATTATTTAATTAGTAAGTTGACGAATATACTATATATTTCTAAACACTAGTAAATGGAAAAAATTCAGAATTGAAAAGCCATTTGGCGCACTAAATGTGGGAAACAACAACATAAATACAGAGATGTGAACACCATAGGCTCAAATGTCGCCACTGGATTTGCCTTTCTGCTTTCTCTGTATTTGCTCTTCTGGTACGCACCAATTCTGTCTCCTCCTCATCTCCTCCCTGCCTTCTCCGTTTTCTGTCTTCTCCGATTTCTTTCTCTGCCCTTTTTCTTCTCTGTGTTTTCCGATTTTGTTATCTAATTTAGATACAGAGCTTTTGGTGTTCCTTTTTTTTAAAATTTTTTTTTTTTTTAAGGAGAGATAAACTAAGGTTGAGCGTGCTCGTAAGTAGGTAGCTAGATCGCTCGTCTGGTTCGCGAGGAAAATGGGAAGGTTGTTTCAGATCTACCTTGCAGGGAGCGTGTATAGCTGCAAGCACTGCCATACTCATCTCGCCGTCCTCGATGACATAATCTCCAAGGTTCGTTCTCTTTTTGCTTATTAATTTTCATTCGCTAAAATGTTAACATGGATCCATTGATCTTTCCTTATTTTATTTGTTCTTGGCATATTTTGGATGAATCTTGAAGAAATTAGAGCAAAATGAGAGTGAGAGGGGGTGTTCTGGAGAATGGAATGGTAGATCATTTTTTTTTCTTATTATTTTTGTTAAAATTTGTAAGGCACATTGTGTGTTGAAGAGATATGGTTCAAATTATATCGTGATTTTCATATGTCAATATACAAGGGTGTTCATTAGGCCTAGCATTCGAGTTATCGGTTATGACTTCTCATGAGTTCTTAAATTCTTAGTTGGCCAGTTAGATAGGGTTTAGTTTATTTTAAGGCTCACTTTGTCTGATTTTTTGCTTAGGAGTAGTATGATTTTGTGTTTCATGACCACATCACAAATAGGATGGCGCAACTTGTGCCTCTCTTTTCTAAAACGAGTGTAGGTGTGGTATAAGAGATGGGGGAAGAATGTGAATTAGCAGACATTTCTTTTATTTCAATGATTGGTGTTCTTATTTATGTCTTTAAAACAAATATGCTTTTGAGATCCTCTGTATGAAAACTGGTTTGATTGATGGAATGCAGATCTTTTAACATCCTTTCTTTGCATGTGCTTCAGTCATTCCTCTGCAGGCATGGAAAGGCTTATCTCTTTGATAAAGTGTGAGTATCTGGTTTTATTGATTTTCATATATCTAACTTTTTGCTATGTATGGTATTTGGCATTTGACTAAATGCACATGCAGTTGTTCTGGAGTGTTATATCTGTCCTTCTACTAGTTGAATGAAAAACGTTTCATACTTTCATTCCTATTTCTGGTTTTCATTTTGAAAGGGGTGGATCAGATTATGGACCATAGACTTACCTTTTGCCTTGTTAAATTAGAGAAGAGAAGGGCATCCATTGCTTGCAAGATTGAATTTTTCTCTTTTGGGGTACAATTATTAGGATCAATTTCTCTAGAAGGCCTGGGTTGTACATGACAACCTGGTTAAATTAGCGCACAGAAACTTCACATAGTAGTGTGGTAGGCGAAATTTGATTTCTTGTTCTTCTTTTTTTTCTTTAATCCTAAGAAGTACAGGTGACATCTGCTTGTTTCTGATAAAAAATTGCAAAGAAGTTGACAAGCTGAATTAGTTAACAAACAAAACAGCTGTTTATCTATCTGTGAAGACTATATTATTGTCACAGCTTCATGCCTCAAGCCGTAGTATCTACGTTTCCTTTCATACCTCATTGCTTCTCCATATCTAAATTGCGTGGCAGGTCTTGTAGTTTGTACAAGAATGACATGTTATATAAGCAAATCCTGAGTGACTGCACCTTACCATACAATTGAAAGCTTGAACTACAAAAAACATCAAATGTATGTCTTTTCCCTTTTTTTTTCAGCCTGCCTTTGCCCTAATTCCCGAATGTTTTTCAAGTAACCTTGCCATGGCAATTTGTTATGTATTCTTCTTCCAAGCAGCCTCAGTTGCTTTTTTTGGCACGCTTATGTGTTTATGAATGTGTAATGTGTCTTGGATTAATGAATGGTCTTACTAACCTTTTGTTTTCACAATGTATTGACAGTGTGAATATCACATTAGGCGAGAAAGAGGATCGAATGATGATGACGGGAGTGCACACTGTTGTTGACATTTTCTGCGTTGGGTGTGGCTCAATTGTGGGTTGGAAATATGTAGGTCCTAAAAACATGTGAATCTACTTTTTGTTTTTTAACCAAATCAACTGTTCCTAGATAGAAACTCTCCCTATGTTTTCTAATCCTTTGAGTGATTGTAGGAAGCCGCACATGAGAAGGGCCAAAAGTACAAAGAAGGAAAATTCATCCTTGAAAGGTGGCATACTACTGTTTCTGTTGCTAGTATGTTTGATATTTCGATCAATGTTTATGGATATGGATTTATATTTTGGTGCAGGTTTAAGGTGTTGGGTCCTGATGGAAGCAATTACTTGATCACTCAGGAAGCTCAATTTGTTGGAAGTGATGCTGATGATGCTTGATTACCGTATTCATTTTGGATCTTGGCAATAAATTCCTTATTTGAACTGCATATACCTGGCGTCTTGTGTTCTTGTTAGACCCTGCTATGCTATTACATTTAACCTCTTGGTTTAGGTTATCCATTTTTGGATTGTGGCCTGAAGCAGGCGAGGAACTTCTGAGGAGTTCATCTTAATCATATCAATGATGTTGGGCTTACCCGACAAAGCAGAGGCTGGTCTCAGTCCATAACAAATCGGGCCTGTCTACTAAATGGATCCGAGTAACCTGAAAATCAATGGTTCAAAACCAAATCCATATATGAAAAAGAAAAAAAAAAGTGTTTTGTAATGTGAATTATAAAGTTTGAACAGTAAAGTCTAAATCATTAGATAATTGAGGATATTTTTTTAATGATTTGTTAATTTGAGTTAAAAGAATTCAGTTTTTTTTAAGTGAAATCTTAAACTCAAGTTTTATAAATGTAGAAATAGATATTGAAAGAGTTTTTTTATTTTTATTTTTTATTATGGAGTTTGATTTAAGTAGATTTTGAATTAGTTAAAATTTAATATGACCTCTGAATGGTAAAGGGTTAGTACAAAAATAAAAAATAGGGACCTTTTGATAATAGATGAGGATTTCTTTATTATTGTTTTAAAATATAGTACAATCTTATATTGAGAATCAACTATGAACTAACTAATTACTCTTGTATCACCATTGAGGATCAACCATGAACTAACTAATTGCTCACGTATGTGCATCCGAACACTTGGATTGTAAAATAAATAACTAATAATTTGTGTAAGATTTACTCATTAAAAAATATACAAAATTATCTTTAGAGTTCGTTTAGCTTGTATTATAATAGCATAGATTAATATGTAATAAATATATATTTTTTAATTATTTCATATAAAAAATATAAAAATTAATTTTTATTTGAATACTATTGTTATGTGTACATTTTTAATTGATTAATTAATTAAAATAAAGTTAATATTTATTTGTTTATATAAGTTAAGTATAAAAAATACATACTATATACATGTTTAATTTGTATATTTAGTCAACGACTTAAATAATTTAGTAGTTATTTTATTCCACTGAAAGTAAAAAATCTTGAGTTGGAATCATATGGTATGCAGATAAAGTGAAATAAAAAATGAGAGATGATTATCTTTTATTATACAAAATATATATATTTAAAAGCACATATTATAAAACCGTTACCTTAATAATATGTGCTAGATTATGTGAGATTCGGAAGTGACGGGCACAGGAGCTCTATCCATGTGCAACCCCCGCGAGAGGAAGTTTCTCTTTACCTATTTTTGAACGAAAGATACGACTATGGGCCCTGGATGATACGAGTGAAGATATTGCATTTGAATGTCAAGAAAAACATTCAAGTGACAAACATTTCGCTGCAAAGTTATGGATGGCTCCAAAAATGCAAGGCAACATCAGAGTCACTGCTGCTCTTTAATAGCGGCTCAAATAAAGGCTTTATAGCCGTAGGTGAGAACATCCAAATCCATAGGCTCCCCATTTCATTGTCAACACATTGTTCATGCATGTTACTAGTTGGTATGTTTTATGCATAATCATTAAAATATATATTGTATAATTTAAATTGTATTGTATTATACAACTTAAACTACAAAATGAGAAGGAAGCCAATTACTATTAAATATTACAAAATGGGACAATTTTATTATTATTATTATTCTGATATTTACCGTTAAGATATTTTGGAGTTAATTTTTATATATATCAAAAGTAATTTTTTTCAAATAATTTTAAAAACACATCTTCATATCAATTTAATATATTTAAATAAATTAATTTCTTTAATAACGGCGCAAGTAATGGCTTTATAGCCGTAGGTGAGAACATCATAATACAAAGGCTTCCCATTTTATTCTCAGCACATTGTTCACGTATGTTACTAGTTGTTCCATCAAAAAGAAATATGTGTGTCACTAGTTGGTATGTTTTGTGCATAATCATTAAAAAAAATGTGTAATTTAAATTATATTAAGTTGTCCAATTTAAACTTCAGGATAGAAAGTAAGTTTTTTGATATTAAATATTACAAAGCATGGCAATTTTATTTATTTTTTTATTATTTATTATTAGAGTGTTTATAAGTTAACTTTTGCACATTTTTTTTTGTTGAGAAATTTTAAGGATCCACTTTTTATAACCTTTAAGTGTCAATCCCAATACTTAAATTTTAAACTAGATTATAGGATAAATGAATTTAATATTAAGTTTCAAAGCACCCTTATCATATTTTCCACAAACCATTATTCACGGATGTCACCAATTGATATTTAAGCTGTTGAAGGTGTTTAGATTAAAAGTTCAAATACAACATATAATAAATGATTAATAAAGGTAGGTCTAATATGTACTTTAAATGTATAAATTAAAAATATGATTATTATATTTTTTTAATATTAATTATTATTAAAAAATAAAAAAATTATTATTGATTTTTTATTATTATCATATAAATTATTTTAATTAAATAGTTATTTAAATAAATATTAATTTTTATTTTTTTAATAATAATTACATCTTTAACCCGTTTCCTTCAAATATAGATTATAAAATTTAATTAATAATTGATAATAATAATTATTTATTAATTAAATTAATTTAAATCATTAATTTAAATCTATTTTTACCAAACATCTTGACTACAAGTGTGGTGTGGTGCGAACTTTCCCAACAGTTTTTCATTTGAAAATTTAATTTTAGAAAACTGTAAGAGTAAATTGACTGATCTGACAGGCTGAGCTTTAGTCAGACTAAGGTCACCGAATCCAAGCCACACGATTAACGAGATTTCCAATGTGATGCAGTTGCATGTCGTTCGATTGACTTGCTCGGTCCAATCAAGGCCGTTGGTTGAAGATCAAACGCCTATAGAAATCCAACGGCTAACATTTAAAATCTCGGCGTCCTGCGGAACCTCTAATATGTTTCGAACTGGAATTCAACCTCAGGAAGTTAGAGCAGTGCTATGGGCACACGCCGCCTGCACTCTCCCGCCAACACTCCCCCTTTCATTGGGCCACGTAAGGTTGTTTAAGCTCTGAGGTGCAACCTCTTGCCTTCAACATCCCGTAACGAGATTTTTTGCATGCTCAAAATAAAAATAACATTTTTAAAAAAAATAAAAGTGATGTGATTTTTGACTTTATCTTTTTTTACCAAAAACCACTGTAGTCGTTTTTTTTTTTTATGTTAACCTTTTGATGTTTATAAATTATATTAAATTTTGATTAATTTAAAATCGAACTGAATCAAATTTTATATAAAATTTTTTTTTCAACATTTATTTTTTTATTAAAATTAACAGACTGTTGATCGTCCCTCCTTAACAGGCAAACTTATACTGATCTTTTATTGTAAAGTACAAAAAAAAAAAAATATTAGCCTTTAGGAGGAGGGATATATATATATATATTTTTTTAAAAAAAAAGCAAATTAGTAGTGTTCATCAAACCGTTAATGGCATTTTAGTTATTTTTCCGATGCTTCGGGTTATTTCCTACTAACAGCAACAACAGCACCGTATGTTTGAAATTCCTGCATTTGGTTCTTCCTCTTCTTCTTCTTCTTCTTCTTCTTCCCGCAGTTTTAAAAATCCTGACTTCCTGAGAGCTAACAGTTCCAGAGCAGAGCAGGTGGTGGCATCGCCTTTCTCTAAGGAATCAAAACTACCTGAATCCATCCAGGTTCCCTCTCTGTTCTGACCTCAACCATCTACTTCTCTGCTTGATTAATTTAGCAATTTCCCTGTTTGACCTCATTTTTTAATCATTTTTCGCATTTACAAGAAGAAAAAAAAAATTCTAAGAATTTGGTAATCTCTCTGTGTGTATTCAGTTTTGGAGGTTAATAATGGTGATGAAGGAAAGGGATGATGAGCTAGCGTTGTTCCTGGAAATGCGAAGGCGCGAGAAGGAGAAGAACAATCAGCTTTTCCTGCTTCAGAACTCCGATGATCTCGATACTTCTTTAGGTCAAACTGCGGACTTCGTTTTTCTTCCCTTTTTTCTTTTTTTGGTGTTTTCAGCTAAGAAGTTTTAGGTGATATACTGATTAGTGTTGGATTCATGCAGGATCCAACGGCGGGGGTTCTTCGGTGTCGAAGGTTGCGTCGTCTATGCCGGTACGGAAGACTGCTGCGGATAATTTCTTGAATTCGGAGAATGACAAGTCTGATTACGATTGGTATTTGCTTAGGATTCTCTGTTGTTTTTTTTTTTTTTTTCTCGTGTTCTGAAGTTAGCGATGATCTCGATTTGAAGTTATGATCTTTGATTTATTCGTGCAAGAAATTTGTGCTGAATTATTAGGGCATTTGAGATATAAATCTAGAAACTTCTTAATTTGTGGTAAATTTTGTTAATTGAAAATCTATGGTTACAATACAAAAACATGATCTTTGAAGGTTGATTTCTTTTTTCCCTATCTGACCCTTTGTAAAAGTTTAGAAGCAATCATTTTTCTAATTTAAGAGAAGCATCTGAATCTGTTGAACAGTACTCACTTTTGATGAACTTTACTTTTGGCTAATGGCTCATGTGAGCTCATGCCCCTTATCACTTTCTTTCCTTTTTATTCTTCATTACTGGGATAGTTTCTTAAATTTCCTCTGGAAGTTAATAATTTCAATTGAATTGTCAGATAAATATGGTTAATATATAGGAAAGTATTTGATGCTCTAGCAACTCACCAAAAACAGCTCAGTTGTTATATGTGAATAGATGCAAGTGGTGTTGATTTGATCTAGTAAAGATTTGATTCATGAGCTCTCAACTGATGGGAAATATGTTCTGAATTCAGGCTTCTTACTCCACCTGGAACGCCACTCTTTCCTTCTCTGGAGAAGGATGCACAGAAAACTCTAATGAGCCAGAATGCCCGTCCAACTGTGCTCAAATCAAGGGTAAGGAGTCTGGTATGATTTCAATTGTTGATGCTTTCAAGCCTTTCTATTTGGTTCAATCAGCCTGAGCTGTGCGCTGTGCTACCATTCACTTGTACAAATATTGGTTCCAGACATCTCAAACTAGGTCCTAGGAGCAGCAAATCCCTTTGTTTTGAATGTATAGTTTTGAGCTTATATGTATGGTTATGAAAATTTGCTAAACTTTTTTCCTATGTTGTTGTTAGAGATATTCTAGTTTGGTTGTTAATGTCACATATTGCAAATTTTTTTTGCTTTGGCATTGCAGCTGGAAAACCTCCCAGAGGAACCTGCTCCAAGAAATAAACTAGCAGTGAAACATCCAACTTTGCCAACTGGTCAGAACACTTCAAGTACCAGTGGCAGGAGCACCAGTAATAGAAGGCCATCATTATCTGGGGGGCCAAAATCTTCCACTAGACCTTCAACACCAACCAGCAGGCCCACTTTGCCTACAGTAACCAAACCATCAAGATCATCCACACCTACTTCACGAACCACTTTGCCTTCCACAAAACCTGCTGCTTCTGCTAGATCCTCAACTCCAACAAGATCCACTGCACGTTCATCAACACCGCCTGCAAGGTTGTCTATTCCAACTTCCAAGTCAACATCAAGATCAGCTACACCAACACGCCGACCAGCTATTTCATCTGGTGCACCTAGTGCGGCTGCACCTCTTGGTCAATCTTCTTTGACAAAGTCAGGTCCCACTCCATTGAAAAATCCTGTACCATCACGAGGTAATTCTCCAACAGTCAGGTCTAGGCCTTGGAAACCTTCTGAGATGCCAGGATTTTCACTTGACACACCACCAAATTTGAGGACATCATTGCCTGAAAGGCCAGCTTCAGCCTCCCGGGGTAGGCCAGGAGCACCTAGTGTTAGATCATCTTCTGTTGAGGCTAGCTCTAATGGAAGACCAAGAAGACAATCCTGCTCACCTTCTAGGTCTCGGACGTCAAGTGGTAGTGCCCATGGTAATGGTAGTTTCGTTCGTCCTGGACATAAAGTGGATTCTAATTGCAGTGATAACGAGGGCCCAGTAGTAATTGGAACGAAAATGGTTGAGAGGGTGGTAAACATGAGGAAATTGGCACCCCCAAAGCATGATTATGATCTTTCTAACCACAAGAATCCAACTGGAAAGTTGTCTTCTTCCCTTGATAGCTCAGGCTTCGGGAGAACACTGTCAAAGAAGTCTCTAGATATGGCCTTGAGACATATGGTAAGTATCTATTTCCTTATATCACTACATTCTTGAAGCTTAATAGCCAGCTTGAGATCAACTGGATGTGCATAATAGTTAGGTAATCCATCTCTAGTGACCTTGATTATATGTGCTCGGCATGCTGTGCTAATTTGAACTTTTTAATAACTCGTAATTCTTTTCCTGCTTGGGGTTTAGTTTGCATTGACATATATGAGTCTTGTGATGCAGGATATCAGAAGGAGCATTTCAGGTAATCAACGTCCACTTATGACAAATGTTCCAGCCTCCTCGATTTATAGTGTGAGATCAGGATCCTCAAAGAGCAGGTCTATTAGTGTTTCAGATTCTCCTCTCGCCACAAGCAGCATTAGCTCAGAGCCAAGTGTGAACAATAATTCCATTTCTTTGGATGGTTGTGAAATGGAAGGCCATGGTTTTAGTAGTGAGAGAGGAAACTCCTCCCCTGCTAGACAGCATGCTAGCTGATCAAAAAGACTACCATCCAAAAAAGGACTTTGGTTCTACACCTACTCATAAGTGGAACATCATCCAGCATGATTAAGAAACAACCCATTTCATGAAGAAGCTGGAAAATGGACATGTCCTGTCTGTAAACTGCTACTGCTTGTCAGTGATCCTTAATTATATTAGGATTAAAACCAGCTAAATTTTGATGTCACCCTTTTTCAAAAAGGTTGAACCTTCATTTTGGTCCCTCAATTATTGTACAGACAGTTGATTTAGTCCCTCAACTTGAAAAATCCTTGATTTGGTCCTTACTATTTACCATTTTAACCGATTTGGTCCTTTCATTAAAATTTTGCCTACGTGTTCCATTAACTAACAAAATGTGATGGCACTTGGGCCTTCCGGCCCAGTGGCGTCGGGCCCAGTGGCATCAGGCCACGTATAAGTGTATTTCTTCACCCTCAGGGTAACGGTTCGAATTTGATCCTTTGCAAATTTGTTCAAAAAAAAAAAAAACCTAATAGGATGTGATGATATGTCAAAATATTACATCCACGTGTGAAGACATCATGGCAAAAAAAATTATGATTTGACAATAAAAACTTAAAAAATTCTATTTTTTACATCTTGTCTCCCTTTCTCCTT